GCCACCCAAAACCGGTGCTCCTCCCATCAGCCCGTTTTTGTTTCATGAAGAAATCAGAGTGATTGCTTGAGGAATATTGGACCAAGATGGATTTAACCGGGATCCTGTGTATGGGATCAAAGGGTTCCTGGTGACCCAGGAGATCCCATGTCTCTTCTTGGGTGTATTAGATTGTGTCACAGAATACCCACTCGAGATTTTTGAGGGATATTTTCTTGTTCCATATCCTTTTTCATTATAACCCTATTTTTTTTTGTTAGGGATTAGCAAAATCCAGGCTCTTGCAGTTCCAATACCCAAGTTTGAGGTTGCTGAAGAGCAGGGCCTGGTTATGGCGATCCCTTTGGGCTCGTCTGAGGGGTGTTCAAAGCAGGACAGGTGAGGCTGTCACATCTGGGTTGTCATGGACACTGCTCATCATCCAGCATGGGACAGCAGGACACTGCACACAGCTCTGCCTGCAGCTCCAGATGCACTCTGGGGACAGCCCCAGCAGTGGTCCCTGTGGAGCAGGTCCTGGCCTCCTCCCCTGGATCATGAAGGGCTACAAAGTGCTTTCCACCGCCTCAGCTCCACCCTTCCTATCCTCACGAGCACCAGAGTAATGGCTGGGTAAGCACTCCATCAGGACAGCTTCCTCCTAGTTTGGACAGGAGTGGAGTCGACTGCAGAATCTGCAGATTCTATGGAGGCAATGTGAAATGACCCCATCTCCAAACAGCACATCATCATCTTCTCACTGGGGAAGTCTGGCCTGATTGAATCTGTGGGATTTTTCTGCTCCTGCTTAAAAATGTTTTGATGGTTTATTAAAAAATCCCCTCTGTGTGTGAGAACAATACATGCCCACAGCAGAGGCTGATTCTGATTAGCAGCTGGATTTCAGGACCTGGTCCAGAAACACCTTCTCTGTTTTATCTGGCATCCTTGAGGTTCTGAGTTTCCTGGGATGTTGCTGCGCTGCTTCTGCTGCTGCTGCCAATTCCCAGGGGATGGGGTATCCTGAGGGGTATCTTGCGATATCTTGAAGCATGAAACAAGCCTCATTTGCACTTCATGAAATACAAGCATTTTTTTTGCAAGCAAACAGTYTCCAGAGTCAGACAAATGGAAGGGTATTTTTGAGAAAATCTTCCAGGAGAACAAGGATCGAGTCCCACTACCAACACTGCACAGGACACCCGAAAACTCCAGCCTCCTCCTCAGAGCATGGTCCAAGTGGTCTTTGAGCTCTGTCAGGCTCATGGGAGCCTGCTGCAGTGAC